CAATCTCGGCCATCAATTAGTATCAAATAAAATCGAAAGCACTATAAAATTCTACTTTCAATTAATACGTGTTAAAAAGAATTATTTATCCATGCAATTTATTTATGATGATTAGACTGTAAATATTTATCTAATTTTTAGGAATATAATTCAAAGAATAGAATCTACATAGAAAACTATTAAATTATATTAGGGGGTTTATTTAGTGGCTGAATAGTTAAACTACAAAATTATTATTTTAAATAACGTATTGTTATTTAATGGTATTATTGTAAGTATTATTGTTGTTTGACTAAATATCGTACATTCTTGAACGTAATAAAATTTTAGCATAACAAGCACTGAATACAATTTTCTTTTGAGAAATTCTGGTTCGTTTAGCTTTTATTGACTCTTCACTTATTCTTTTATTCTTTCATGACGTGATTTTTTTCAATATTCTCACCTTGGTGATTTCGAATTTCTTATTATCAGTTATGATCATCGTTATCTCTCGACCAATGCATGAATATCTCTAATGTAGATTCGTAGAAATTCATGCAGTATTTTTCATTAGAGAAACATAAAAATAAATTTATTATAGGATCACCAAGAGTATCTTAAAATACAAATTGTAAATGTCAATGAACAACAAAACTTATGTGAAACATCACAAGAAGTATCGAATATAGGAAATCTATCTGTGAGTTTGTATTGAAACCACTATACATATATGTATGTAAATTTCAATGTGAAGATAGAATAACTGTTAATTTTTCATACGAACAAAGTTCAGTCACTGGATTACTCTATAATTTAGAAATTACGAGCAAGTGAATCTCCAAATTCTCCTCTTCGACAATTTTCACTCCTAGAATCCCGCACGTTCTCGCAAGATCCGATAAAAGACTTCTTCAACGATCAAGCGGCGTTTCGAACAAAAGAGTCGGAGCGTCTTGTTTCCCGAAGCGAGTCCAATTTCCGCGTCGTTGCGAACAATCTGCTCTAACAGTGGAAAGAGATCGACATTTGCAAATGATTGAATTGAAATTATGGACACGACGATAAACGAGAACGGAGTGAAAGTAATTGGGGGTCAGATTCGGTTCATCGATCCGCGGCTGGTAACGAACCAAATTCTTTCCTTGTTACTTCGTGCATCTCGTTACGGGCAGACGAAACGCGGAGAGTACGCCAAGATTTCCCCGCGATCAAGAATTCCTCGCGTGCTTCCGAACAATAAAGTGTGATTAAATTCGAATTTCAAATGGTACAGAGATCGGCCGAAAGAAACTTGCCACTTTCTTCCCTTTTTTGCATCCTTTATTTCCCTCTTTCGTCGGATTTCTTTGACCATCATACTATAGGTTTCTTCCGTTGTCATCATATTACTAGCTGGCAAATAATTTCGACTGAAGCGAGTATTGAACGTGACGACCTAAGTCATAGAAATGCAATAAAATTTGTTTCGAAATGTATCGAAATAATGCATTTAATATTTAACTTGCAGTAAAATTAAACTGTAGTAAATATACGTAGCGAATACAGCATTTACTTTTTTTCTACGAAATTTTAATTATTAGTGCGAGGCAAGTAGTCTTGTTATTAAAACAAATTATGTCAAATTATAAAGAAGTTGAAGTGTGCAACAGACGGCACAAATAACCCGTGATTAATGATCACTGATGTCAAAAATAAAGGGCAATTTGTTGAAAATTATGTACACAGCGACGAAAATTTCCCTTTTCATTCTGAAGCATATGTAGCTTTCAAGAAAAGAGGGTCGAACGGAGTACAAAATGCAATTTTTAGCAGTTATTTACGTCAAAAAGTTTATGTAATTTAGCGGTTAAAAAATTAACCATTTAAGATTCTTAACATTTTACATCTAAGAAATTTAAGATTACGTTTTCATTTTAGAAACGCAAGTTCCACAGCACGTCAGTTTCATATGCTATGCACAAACTTACAAACTAACAAAATTTGTTCGAAATATGAATCGAATCTGAAAAATATCATTAATCTTATCTAAAGTGTGCTACGTGATATAAGCGAAATTTTCATACAATGTCATCTTATCGATATTACCGTTATCTTAAGTTTCTTTATATGTTACTTCCGTTGTTTCTTAAATTTCTAAGTATTTGATCCGAAATTTGATTTCTTGGAAGTGAACTGAAATAAGATTGATAATATAATCCATTATTATGTTTTACGAGCCAATGAAAATTTATACGCAAGTCCATAAAACATTATCCAATTCAATAAATATTGAATAAATAATATAAATAGTACACAATATAAACTTTTAATAAAAATCAAATGTCGCGCTTCTTAATAGTTTAATAATTTTATTCAATTGATTTCTAACTTTTATTTAGTTTGTTGAATTTTTGAATTTTGTTTGAAAATATCAATAATACATATATTCATTATTTTTCCTATACTCAACGTATGTCAGTTTGATAAAAATATCAAATATTACATTTACCATCTGTTTATTTAAGATTACAGCAAAACATTTAAGATTATAATAAAATAACAGGTAATTTGGAAGATTTCGATTACTTCCAAAAAAGCATAGCAAACAATCGATTATCATCTAAAATTATATTCGATACAATTATATTACATTTTCTTACACGTGTGTTCCGCTATCCTTGTAATTGTTCATGGGCAGCATGAACTACTGTTGCTTGTGAAAAACTTACCGAATATAAAATAAATAACATTGATAACAACTGTATTAGCACGAGCGGTAGGATTTGGAACAGATAACCTTCATAAACTACTATCGTTGATAAAAGATAGATTAAGATTACCAAATCTAAATCGATATTTCTACTACTATTAGCTAATACGTTCAGTACATACATACGACAAATATTATCGAGGAACTATGTAAAAAATTTATATAAATGTTTGTATAAAATAATGAAATATGTGTCTTCCATTTAATCGAATTATTCAGTAGCTCTTTCGAACTGTGAATTTTTATACATTTATAAGAAATCGCAAAAGTGCAAGATTGCCAATATATCCAAAACATAGTTTCAATAATATTTGATACATCAAATAACTTTCTATCAAAGTTCTATTTTTTTATTGTATTCCTAAAAGTACAATTCTCCCAAATTTTGCAATCTACTAATTGGGAGTAAGCGTCCTGAAGCCATTTCGCGCACAGCAATTCAATACATTGTACGTAGATTTGGATTAATTGAATGCAACAAACATCATCGATCGAAAATGCATTGAAATTCCTCTTTAAGATATTTGCGAAGTTTCTCTCTCGTACGAACGATGTATAACAAATTCGCGTTTCATCTTCTCCAATATTCAGGATGTCCTTTCGTTCGTCAGACTCTTCGTGATTTTTCTTTCGAGAAAAGGAGAAAAAAAAAAAAGCAAATCAATATCGGTCCCTTTTTCGGATCTTATTGCCCTTGCCAAAAGCCACGAGTTACGCAAACCTGGTATGGCACATACGAGGGTGTAAAAGGGAAGAGGCTACGTGCGTGCCGTTAAGGAGAAACAGAGAGACGAAATGAGAAACCCGAAGCAGTCCGTTCTGTGGAAGCGTCGGCACACACGTTTATATGGTGGGTTGCCCGACAATAGGCATTGTGCACCCGCCATAACCAGGAACCGAACGCGACAGCACCACACCGGCATTGTCCGAATGTCAAGCAAAGTTCTTTCTCTTTCACTCTCTCTCACTATCTCTCTCACGATCCGTTGCTTGCTCTTGCTGATCTCACATCGACTCTATAATTCGTACATATAACTATTACACATTTTCTTGTGACAACTTTTTCGACGTTTTCACTCTGAAATATTTACTTTCGTTTCAATCATGTAATGATTTCTATTAATCGTGAATCATCGTTACAGTCAGATAAACATTTTTTTATGTGATTTTGTATACTTCTACTTTCGAAAATAAAAAAGAAAAAATTTCCCATCGAACGAATGAGCCAACAAAAATTATTTTCCCTCCTTAAGTGACTAACATATTATAGACTGAAATAGTTTTGAATAAACTGTTCCCAATAAGCAATTAAATTTATATTGAAGACAATGTTTTTATATGTTCTAATATTTTTGTTTCGTCCCCATATTTACGATTAATGAATACTTTTTTTAGGATTAATACCGTTTATATACATCTTTCTATAACAATGAGATTAAATACTAAATTTAATCTGAAACGAAAAGTATATTTGCATCACTCAAGTTCCATATTCGTTTCCAATAGATAGCTGACACATAAAATTTACACGAACTTTTCGAATGTGAAAAACATATTTCAATCCTTTTAATATTTAAATTCTAAACGGACATATGTATATAAAATCATTTAACTTACGTATCTGCAGTTTTTTCCCTCCTTTATTTATACCTATTGATAGATATAGGTTAGCTATTCTATTAACTATGTATGTTATAATTAAAAGATATTAAACGACATATTTGCGAACTGAATTTGAAACTATTCAAATATCATACTTATACATGATAGTCTATTGCGATTGATGCGTCGTATGCGTCACTATTTCTATCGTTAACAATCGTGTATATAGTACAATCATTTCTATGTTATATGAAAAATTATTCTAATATTATTCTAATAAATATATCATTTGTATTATACTATATACATATATGTACATATATAAGCTATCAAATGAAAATAAATAAAAAATTTTCAGTGTATAATAAGTGACTGTTCTGTTCATTTCTTAATACTCAACTAAGATATAATTTTGTATTATCACTGATGTAATTAAACCCATCAAGTCCTGTATCTTTCCACAATTCAGGTTTCTTATTTTTTTCTCCCAACACATATAGATATTCGGACTAATTTTTCAGATTTCTTTACAACAATAAAAAAAAAATAATCGCAAATCTATCAGTTATCTTTAATCTGGCAACTCAGTAACTTACTTACGTACATTAATAGTATTTATCGTATGATTTGACTGATAACGAAATCTGACGAAATAGCCGAATACCGCCAATATATATATGTATATAGATAATGATAATAGAGTATATAAAGCAAATCTGAAATCTGTCTAAGCAATTTGTGTCTACGGTGATACAGAGTTTGGATACATATTCTGTTCTCCTTTCTTAAACGCAAAATGAAAGGTAAGCTAATTGCTTCAGTAACTAGCTATGAATATGTTATATTCGAGTCTAGTGTTAGTGATGATATAGGAATTAAAATATTCAATTCTTAAGGAGAAATAAATTTTTTAGGTCGTGCGTGTAAATATGTTTTCATAATATGTTTTCATAAAATGATTACATAGTAAAACTAAATCCTTAATTAATCATAATTTATAAATAGATTTTAACTAAATTATTATTACGACATTGACTTTTACTATGATTCTGGGATTCATAGAAGAATTCTTTCAGTTGTTCTCATTTTATGTCCTGTTATTTCTATTTTTACTTTATATCTTAAAGAACTTACATCATTTGTTTGAAAACGATAAACAATAGGGAAAAATGTAAATTAAAATGAAACTATAAATATATCTATAATTATTGATTTAATAGTAACATCTTCGTTATTATTCTTATTCATTTATTTTTTTAATTGGGCCAATATAGAGCAATTATATCGTTCATTTTGATTCACATGATATTACGCTATATTTTATTTTTATTATTTTGTCATTGTGATTAATTGCATGTTACAAATGATAAGATATTCAATTATGTTTGTGAACTTTCGCTTCTCATACGTACTTTCTCCAAAATATGTTATTATAGTGTTTATATGAAAGCAAACGTATGATACATTATATATTCTTGCTACATAATTGCAAATCATTGTTTACTCGTGCAAAAATTAAAACTTTCGATTTCTACAAATATTCGCAGACACGTGATAGTTTCAGTAGCTCAAATAGTTTTGTCATTTAATCTGTCCAAGCTATTACTTATTATAACAGACACTGTTAAATAAATATTCTAATTTTTTGAAAAGTTCCTAGTTTCAGCTATTCCTCGAAACATCCTTTAACTAGTTCTGTAAAATTTAAAATTTAGTAACGTAAATACATAGTAAATAGAGTCACAGAATATAAAAATATAAAAATAGAACCTAGTTAATACAAATAGATATAGAATTACAAAATGTAAGAATAAAATTTAGTAATATAAATAGATACATAATATAAATGGAATTTAAGTAAATATAAAATATAAGAATAAAATTTAGTAACATGAATAACCAACAGAATTACAAATGAAATGTTGAACGAAATCCTTAACGAGGATGCCTTACATTTCTGCTAGTTTATTCATGAAATAAATTTAAATTACGAATTGAATTTGATAAAGAAGATAATTTTGACGAATCTGCGTTTTATTTTTTTCAGCCGTGGTATTCTTGTTATTTGCCGCCATTTTCATCTACACAAACTGCAACGTAATCGACGTGCAAGCTCCACGACCAGACTGCTCCCATGCAGACAAGGATCACCTTTTGGTTCGTCATCCATGCAGCTGCACTACTTACTTCGTTTGTCTCACCGATCCGCCAATTCCCATGGAATGCCCTGACGGCCTTCAGTTCAATCAAACTGTCCAGGCTTGCGATTTTGCAATTAATGTGAACTGCATAAGAGATCCTGGGTGCTAAATAATCTACTATTTCCTTTGTTTATATTTGTATTAACGAATCTATAAAAATGAAAGGAAAAATCTCGTAATCGTTTTTTTGTTTTGTTTTCAAAATCGTGACTATCGTTGCGTACTTGTTTCAAATTGTAAGTTACTCATAGAATATATGTATACGATATACACCTGCAAACAAGTAAAAATTCTTCTATAACATTGTATTATATTATTTGCGAGAACTCTTTTTTACAACATTGTAATATTTGCGTTTTATTTTGTTTTCCATCTTTTTTTTTTTTTCATTATTTTCCATCTGTTATTTTCCTAGCATTTGGATGAAATACTTAATGTTAGATGAAAGACGTACGTTGCCGCACAAAAGTGTGTGAATAATTTTTGAATTCAATTAGAATTTCAATTTCGTTTCGTTGTAATTTAACTATGTTTGTTGATTGGACTAAAACGCTCGAGTAGAACGTATTCGAAATCTTCAAATTTTCTCAGCAAACACATTTCGCGATATTCCTCTCTCAACTCGCGACGAAAAGATTTATTATTCTCTTTTCGAACCAGAATATAAATTTTATTATATAACACAATAGAATTAAATTCATTGAATCATCTTTTGTGTCAGTATAAAACAGTTTCAGTTTGTTGGAGTGTTAAAATTTGATTCTCTCAACAGTGGCGTATCAAAATAAAACGAACGTTTGTTTCATCAAATTATCATGTATTCTGGAAAAAGTTGAAAAGTACGAAATTTTAGAGATCATGGCCGCGATATATGTAACTTACTGTTGAATTAACAGACCAATTAAAACAAATGTGGCAGCTGACTGACTGCAAAAGTCTATATCTCAGAAAGGAAGAGTTATGAACCTATATTTATAGAAGAAACAGTGGAATACGGTACCAAAGTTTGGCCGTCTATTTCCTTAACATCTTGTATATTCAGGCACCGAGTGTATTTTCTGCTCTACCTGTACTTTCCACCGAATCGTGAGTTTCTCCTTTTCCCTTGGAAACAATAAATATATTTATTCTATTTTTATATATTCTATATTCTATATTTTTATATATTATATATTATATTTTATTTTATTACATATTTTTATATATTATATATTATATTTCATTTTATTACATATTTTTTATATATTTAATATATTTATTTCATATATTATACATTTTTTACATATTTAATATATTTATTTTATATATTATATATTTTTTATAATATATTTATAATATATTTAATATAATAATTTTGTATATATTTAATATATTATATTACATATATTATATTTTATTTCATATTTTTTATATATTTAATATATTATATTACATATATTATATTTTATTTCATATTTTTTATATATTTAATATATTATATTACATATATTATATTTTATTTCATATTTTTTATATATTTAATATATTATATTACATATATTATATTTTATTTCATATTTTTTATATATTTAATATACCATTATATTTCGTAACATTCCTCGTTCTTCCTCCTAACTCTTTAAATGGAAGCCATTTAAAACTATTTCGAACGTTTCTCCCTGTGACACACATTTTCCATTCACTAACAATTGGCCCAGTTTCTTCCTTCTTTTTTTTTTTTTTTTTTCCCCCCGTTTGAACTTACAAACTCGTTGGCGAACATTCGCATAAATCAGTTTCGCGGCCAGAGGTCTCTCTCTTCCTTTCAGTCGCAGCTATTAATCATAGTACGAGCCGTCGTACAGCGACGCGGCGCGAACGTTTCCAAGTCGAGCAGCGAGCTGCTCGTTTATTCGCGCGGACGACCGGAGACTTTACAATTCAATCTCTTCGACGGCATCTATCGTCAACTCGTTCGTCCTTTCATGAATAAGTCGAGCCAGTTTCCGCGGCCAGGCGAACGAACGGCTCTCGATTCGACATTATCGGCGGCGATCGATGGAAAACCGGGCGAGGGAACGAGCGACGAAGGAAGATGAAGACGCGATCCGGTGCCGGAAGACGATGAGGAACAGATGAAAAGGGGGCTTACAAGAGGACTTTCGAATTCTCCGGAGGATTGGCCGGTGTGTCGTGTGCAAAACAGGAGGAGGACGGCGAACGAAAGACGGCGTTGAAACGAAATCGGGGAGGAACGAGCAAGATGGTGTACCGGGATATCCCCGGGCAAGTGGGCAACGGTGAAAAGGAGAGACGAAGCTAGAGAAAAGAGAGATCTCATCAGAGACGGCGACACTTAAATTCCCTATTTCGTTTGGCGCTCAATACAGCCAGAACGGGAGTTTGTCGCGTTCCCCGCGTGCATCGAGCTCGCCTCGCCGCGTTCTCGTCCGTCAGTTAATGTCGTATTCTCGATGTAAAAAGGAGAACCAGACCGGCCAGAGAGGAGCGAGAAAGAGAGAGAGAGAGAGAGAGAGAGAGAGAGAGAGAACGAAGCGGCTCGAACGGATCGAGACTTCTTATCGGTACGAGTCAGCTACCGGTTACCGGCTTCGTACACACTCCTTTACCTCGAAACAGCTCCTTTTTTTCTTTCTTTCTTTTCTCTCTCTCTCTCTCTCTTCCTCTCTCATCGTCTCTACAGTTTCCCACTATTACTTTACCGTTTTCGTAGATTTCCCGCGCTTGTCGCCGTTACTTGCACGAAATGAATCCAGCCTTGAAGCGTGCCACGGGGAATGTTAATGGAAGCTATTCTGCGTTTGAGCGTTTTCGTTATGAACTTTGAAAAATAATGTTTCGATTATGTATTTCAGACTATGTGCTACGACATGTACGAGTTCAATTGGTCGTTGATTGAAATGTTCAATAGAAGAGCTGTTGAGAAGCTAGATCGGTCGATTTGAATTGTTGAATGTTTCTTGACTTTACCATTAAGACTTTATGTTACGATTATCAAATTTAGATTTGATATAATTGATAGATTGAATTTGTTAATTGTAACTGGAGTATGTGGTTTGTATATTCTATTTTAATTTAGATCTGATGAGAAAAATAGATTAAATTTCCTAACTTTACTACAGGAATATAATAGATTTTATTTAGAGTGGTTAATAGATTTTATTTAGAGTTGTTTTATATGATAAGCAGATTGAAATTTTCACAAGGACAGCGAAAGAAATAGAACCTAAAGAGAGATTTGTTTCACTCACTAGATATTAGATTATCATATTTTTAGGTGTTCTGTATATTTTTAGGTATATTTTTTATACAGGTGTTATCATATTTTAGATATGAAGATTATCATATTTTAGGTGTTCTGTATATTTTTTATACATTACATATCCTATACATGTTTGTAATTTTAAATTTCCTATAAGTGTATGAAAATTTATAGTTTACTCTTCCTTTTTCTTCCGAACATCAAATACATAATTACTCTTAATGAAAATAAAATTCATCATCAGTTTCGTTCGTCGATTTTACAATTTACATGTTTCAAGAAAAATTACATATTTGACAATTAAAGATTATTGATTTATCGTTAATAGTTTATGTGCAAAGTTTTAATGGTTGAAAAAGTTTCATTCACATTAGTGATAACTGTGCTGATAATTTTTTATTATTTAAAATATTGTATTAAAGAAATCTGTCTTTTGTCATCGTTGATAAAGATGTTTCAAAATGTGATGACACAAGAAAATCGTATGCTTAATCAAGGAATAGTTCAAGATAACCATTCATATATTGACATGTTGAAATGATACTTAATATTCAAAATACGATATTGGATAAAGCATTAAGATTTTATTTTATAATAGTAATTACTAATAAAGTATGTTTTCCATTTACATTTCTGATCATAAATTGTATATTAATTTTATTAAACTTTCAAACGATTGAAATAATATGCAATATACAATTTCAAAATATAATAAATGACCTTTCATAGAAAAAAGAGCAATCTAATCATACAATTAGTTTAAACACAGAAGGCTCGAATGTAACAATCGCGAACACCATCGATTAACATCTTTCCGGGCCTGAAATCTCCAACGTTACACTTTTCAATTATACATCAATACAGTTGGCATAATGTTACTTCTGTTCGTGACGGAGCTTCCTCGTTATTCCATTCGTATTTACATTCAACGACATGAAAAATGTTTCACGATCGAGGCCGGCTACGTTTAAACCCATTGCCACAACTTCAAGTTGTTGCCTCTAGTTGTTTCCTTTAAATCCTTGGAAGTTCCCGTTCTCGTTCTCCTCTTGTTTCTTCACCTCGTTTTATTTTCTCTCTTCCCTTCTTGCTTTGTCCGTTGTATATAACAAAGGGAATTCGAAAGGCACGATCGGGTGGTTAATTTATGCTGTCTGTCTTGCTAGGTGGTACGTTCTGTCAAGCTGCTAGTCGCGGCAGGAGGTGAGATCGAATTAATAGCCAGACATTTTTCCAACGAAGAAAGCGCGCCAGCAGAACGCGGCAAGGAGAAAAAGAATAAAGAAAGAAAGAAAGAAAGAAAGAAAGAAAAAGAAGAAAGAGAAGGGAACAAGGGAGAAAGGAAAGAATACCGATTATAAAACGCTCAGATGGCGTGCAAAGAACGCAAAGGCCCTCCGTTTGCACGAGGCAAGCTCAGGTTTGGCTTGCCCGTAGAGATTGCTGCTTTGTTGCATGTCTCCTTAGACTTGTACATTTATTACGTGGCTGGTAATTCTCATACGACTGAATTATCGTCTTTTAATCGCTCCTCTTCCTCCCTGTGGTACTAATTTCTCTAGTTGAAGTTGCATTCTCCAAGCGAAATAATTAACGAGATTAACAACGCTGTTCAAAAAAATTTCAACTTCTTCCCTTCTGAAGGTATTAATATGTACTAGGTGATTCTTTGTCGAGTTTAATGCGTTGAATATGAAGGCACTTCATTAGTTTTCGAAGAAATCAATTTTCGAGAAGGTGCAAATTTTCAAGTTTAAATGTTATGTGACAATATGTTTCTAAAATATTATTGAATTCGTCGTTTAGTGTGTCAATCAAAAATTAACGGGATAGAAGAGATTTTTAATTTTGACCGAAATATTTATAACATATAAATATATATAACACTCTGTTGCAATATTATATTGTATATTACTAAACACCGAAAAATTGTTTGATATATACTATCATTAGATAATATCATTAGATAATAAATCTCCCAGAAATATATACTATTATTTGATATATATACTAAATATTCTATATACTCTATATACTAAACATATACTATTATTTAATAAATATATATTATTATTTTACTATTATATACTATATAAATAAATATAATATAATAAATATATATTATTATTTTACTATTATATACTCTATATACTATATACTCTATATAATAAATATATACTATTATTTGATATATATACTAAATATTTTATATACTCTCTATACTAAAATCTCCCAAAAATATTTTTTGAAAAATATTTAATGAAATTGTATCGCAGAGAGATGAAACTCGGTAATAACGATGAATCAACGAAAATCTTTCCGTTGTTGAACAGAATAGGAAGGCAGAGATAAGACTGTGATGTAGTAGCTGGTCATTCCCCGGTGTCCCCGAGGAAATCAAATTATCAACACGACCAAGACCAACTGGCACATGTACTAAAGCCGAGCACAGGTGGTTCACTGATATTGGTTTTGCTTTCGAATTTTGTGGACACCTATAGCTATTGTCGTACCAGAGACTCATCAAGGGCAATTACTAAATATTCACAAGTTCATTACGAACCGAGCTGAATACGCCATCCTTGTATCTCCTTTCTGTCTTCTTTTTCCTTCAGCGTCTCTGTTGTCTATTTTTGTATGACAAAATTCGTATTATTTCTATATTAATATAAAAATTGTATATCATCAAGCCCCGACGAGAAGGAAAAAAGTGGGTAGAATTAATAAATAATTTTAATCACGAAACTACAAAGTACTTTTCACAGTTATTGTGTCCATACTGAGGACGTCTTATTTTTGTTATTTATTTATTTATTTAAAGTTATACATAGCTTTGAGAATTGCTAGAAATTACAATAATACATTACAGATTAATATAATTATGATGATCGAATATATATATCTGATCATGTGTATAACAGGCGATATTGTCTGCTCTTTCTGTCGCGTAAAATCATAGAAGACGGAGAATTTGAGGACGAAAGCGAAAACTTTACTATTCGATTCCTAATTCATATTTTTTTCATCGTAATCCGCCCGTGCAAATTTAAAACGAGGGGGTTGAACGACAGTTTTCAGCGTGCAGGTCAGATGCGCTTTCCGACAAAGAGCTCATAAAAATTTAATAGATCGTCGCATTCGGAATGCGACAGCGGGCTTTTCACGGCTTATAAATGCTTCGTTTGACCGAAAACAATTTTGCTGCCGGTTGAGAAGTCATAGGTGGCACAAAACTCGAAACCGGCCAGTTTAGAAACGCTTTCAGCGAGCACGGTGCGCTTCAGCCGCGTAACATGAGTTTTAATTACTCGTCATTGGATTGCCTAACGGTCTCGGTCGTCTAACGCGAATGAACTTCGTAAACAACTGAAATTCTGGCACCCGAGTTTTCGCCGCATCACAATTTTCAAATCGCCTCGGCCTATTGCCAGTTAATCGATCTACACGTTTTTATTTATCTTGTACAAGACACTTTTTGTACTTGAGATCGAAGTAAAATAATCTCAACACATATACTTGAGATTCAAAGTACAGAGAACAGAACAATTTTCAAGGTTTCGCTTTCTTAATTATATTCTCAGAAATATGAATTTGTAGAAAAATTCGTAATCTATACACCTTAAGCTTTCATAGTCTATATATTTTCGAGTAGAGTCCAAAAATATTGTGTTAGCAATGAAATAATTATCAAAAGAACGATATTTACATATTTATACATTACAAAAAGTCGTGAAATCTGTGACTGTGAAGGTTAAAAAAAACATAGAAGAAATAACAGTGACAAACTGCGGAGAAACTTGTACAAAAATCCGCAATCTATACACCTTGAGCTTTCATAGTCTATATATTTTCGAGTAGAGTCCAAAAATATTGTGTTAGCAATGAAATAATTATCAAAAGAACGATATTTACATATTTATACATTACAAAAAGTCGTGAAATCTGTGACTGTGAAGGTTAAAAAAAACATAGAAGAAATAACAGTGACAAACTGCGGAGAAACTTGTACAAAAATCCGCAATCTATACACCTTGAGCTTTCATAGTCTATATATTTTCGAGTAGAGTCCAAAAATATTGTGTTAGCAATGAAATAATTATCAAAAGAACGATATTTACATATTTATACATTACAAAAAGTCGTGAAATCTGTGACTGTAAAGGTTAAAAAAAACATAGAAGAAATAATAGTGACAAATTGCGGAGAAACAGGCAAAAAATGAAACTCTTGCACAATATACTTTGGCTGAAAGTTTCTCGATTCGGCGCACAGAGAACGATATACCGTTATATATTACTACGAGCAAGGCCAAAGTCGACGATGACACATCGGGGATTGATTTCTGGCATATCGCGTTTTACGTGGATTTTCGAGAGGATCACACGTCAGCTATCCAATTCGACGAGGTCCCCGATTAAAATTCGATCGGTTATCATCGGAATGTCGTGTGATATTCCGGCCGAGTTTTATGTACGAGACCGATAACAATCCGCTGGATTATTGAAACCCACGCATCGATTGATCGACAGCCACCGATATCAGGAATTGCTCTGGCCCTACACGTGCGTCTACTAACTGGCACGACAGTGTGCGTGTCGCTTTTCGTGCGCTCAGGAAACTGCCGCTGATTTTCTCTGTGCTCGCGCAGCTTTGAAATCCCCGCGTCTAGACCTTTTAGCTGGCTCGAAAAATCTGTTGCCGGCAAAATACAAACTTTTTTTATCGATGAAACGTCCATTACTTCGTCACAGGCTGTCCAGCACAACATGGATAACTGACAATGAGAGAAAAAGAAAATTGTTTTGTTTAAAGTTCCGTTTTCCTTTTTTTTTTTTTTTTTTTTTTTTGAGAAAATATTGTTTGAATATTTAATCGAATTTGGGTAATTCTGGACTATACAAGAGTAGATGAGTAATTGATGTTGTAAAATAAAATTTTTCTGTTTGAAATTTCATAGAGTTTGAAAGTTTAAAGAACAGAGTTTAAAGAATATGTTTAGTTGACTTATGAAAATAATTGACTTAGTAATTAAGTAGTTTTTAATATATTTTTGAAATTAATTTTCTTAAAATGTAACAATTGTAACAACTGTAAGTTTTGACTGTGAAGTTGTATTCTACACTTTTGACTTATTTAAATTTACTTATTTCTAAACAGTTCAAAATTATCTAAATTTAAGTATATTTAATAAATTTAATTTTCTTCAAAACGAAACTTGGAAAATTTTATCCTATTTTTCGATTTGTTTCTGCACATAGAATCATTTTCCAGTTTGTTATAAACGATGTATGAGACACACTATTTATTTTTCTCTCATTTGCCAGACCTTAATTCTTTGAAAGAAACAAAGCATTTTATAGATAACTATAAGAACCAGTATATTAAATCAATCTACTGTAGATACTACATAACTATATACATATACATATAAATGAATTGTATAAAAATCATTGATTACTTACTCCCAAATTATACATAAAAGTATAATTTCCTTCAGAATAAATAATTATTCGAATACACACTCAACGATAAAATTTTAATCATATATAAACAAAAATATTGTGGAATAAATAACATATAATAATAAAAATATAAGTTCATTATAATACCCAATTCTAAAAATATTTTGTATACATTTTTTCAAACATATGTTGAAAATTCTTTTTACAAAAATATTTTCCTAATGTAATAACTTAAACATTACAAAATAAATTAGTAGAAACGGATCAAGGTTGTATCCTCGACCTATTTTCTTGACAAAATGCCATAGATTAACCGTGAGTGGAACAGCTATTTCAAAATAACAATGCAGTGAAATCACTGTCAGTCAATAGTCATTGTGCAATAGTGAATGTCGCGTTCATTTCTATTTCTTCTATTCGGTATAGCTTGGCTTCTAAATTGAAGGGTTCACAACAAAAACGACACTTTTCCACGTTTGTCTCTTTCTAGCAGAACAAAAAAGTATCTTTAATCCTGCTTCAATACGTTTCAAATGTTTTTAAAAAAATATTTGTTATATTGCATAAATTAAATTTGTACTGAGAAACTATTGAATTGAAATTGAACATTTGTACAGTCGATTAATTTCCATTTCTTTTAGTAAATTATTTCGTATTATGAATATCGTTTCTGACTGTTCTATTAATTTTGTTGTGTCATAAAAATTTGATAAAGATTAAAAGTCTGATAAAGAAACTCTTCTATGATATTTCAAAGTCATCGGTATTTTTTTCTTCTTAATATGTATTATACACATTTTTTATATATATCATTCTTTATAGAAATTATTAAAGAACTTGTCTCTGGAAATGTTAAATCATTAAAATAAAGAAATATGGTGGTCTTTTAATTATTTTAGGGAAATTTATTGTTTAATTTGATAATCCACGATAAGAAATACTTAAATTATATTTATGTATTGTTATTATAATTTATAAATAAAAATTTTATAAAATAATATTTTAAATCAAAATGTAGTGTAATTAAGAATAAATGAATTGAAAAAAATTTTTATTTTTGGATAATTATTTTTAATATTAATTTGAAAGAAAATTTAATAGTAAATTAATTTAATTATTTATTTGAATTAAGTGTTTTTAAAGTATTGAATTTTTATATCTATATAAAGTTCAATACGTTTATACAAATCGATATGGTT